TATATTCTTGGCTTTGAAGGAAATGTAAAATGTTGTCTTTTTGAAAAAATTCCTATCCAAGCATAATCAAAATATGTGAGCTATAATTGTAAAATTGCCATACAGTAGAGTTTATTGAATAGCCACCCTGGCTACAAAAGTACCATGTTGGTTTTGGCTATTTCTATGGCTATTTCTCTTGGTGGCTCACAATACTAAATGCAAGGTGCATTTTTTAATTAGATTAAAAAGGTACATATTTTGGGAAGGTGATATAATTTCCAGCTCATATAGTTGTCTGGTGATCGACAGAAGCTCTGTTTGTAGCCCAATCATGAACATACGCAGGGAGACAAGTAACATCATGCATGTTATGATAGCATTGCATAGGCAGCACAGATTATGTACTGGACCTCATTTGCCTCATAATACAACTGGTGCAAATAGCATAATTTCAATAATTTGGAACAATAATGTCATGACCCATATGACATAACTCTGACCACTGCTGGATAACTTTCACCTCAGATACTTCACAATAGCCATGTATAGCACAGTAGTAGATAAAAGCTTATAACAGACCTTTTGTGAATTCATAGGGCCTGAAAAGAATTTGTGATTGTAGTATTTTCAAAAAAGCTTGCACCTAAAGCAGGCTTTGTCACTAGGCTCTGATAAAGTTTGTGTATCAGAGGGGACATGGTAGCACAGGGGCTTAATGATGCTGGAGCTTGCCAGCCAGAAATGGTTGGCACTCCAGTGGTTCGAGCCTGCTCTGCATGACTGGGTGAGCGCCTGTCAGTCATCCCCAGCTTCTGCCCACCTAGCAGTTTGAAAGCATACCATCTGTGAGTAGATAAATAGGTACTCCCATTTCGGTGGGAGGAACCGGCGACGCCTATGCGTGGAAGCTGGAACTGGTGCTGGACCCAATCGGTGGAAAGAACAAATGCTGGACGCTGGACACGACTAATGTGATGGGCAGAAAAGATAATCGGTGGAAGAAAGACCAGATGAGCTGACTCCCTTGTGACTGCTGCTGGCCACAATAGAATAGGGTTGCACTGTAGTTGTATTAGAATAGGTGTAATTGTAATTGTAATGGTAAAGGTGTACTTTGTGAACCGCCCAGAGTTCCCCATTGGGGGAGATGGGCGGAGATAAATCCGAAATGTAATGTAATGTAGTGTGTAAGGCATTGTAATTAGCTATTCACAGTGAGATATGTGAAATCTAAATAATAATAATGATGATGATGATGATGATGATGATAATAATAATAATAATAATTTTTTTA